TATATAACATAATTAAATAAATATGTAGTTAGTTTATTTTTCTATTAAAAGCCAACGATTATCAAAATAAAATATCAAGATATCTATAATTTTAAATACAGAGCACTATATTTAGGTTCAAAAACATAATATAACATATTGTTACACTATTCAAAGTATCATGCGGCTAGAAAATGTATTTGACAAGCCTCGGACACATGTTGCTTCCGTTGGCGTAATCATCAGTATATTGACTAGACACACATACATAGATGTAGATCTTTGCGATCGATATAATCGATTCGCGTTGCCTTATCTCGGCTCGATCGAACAACACCACATGTACGTCCCAATTTTTCTCGCCGTATATAGTCGCTCTTTCTTCCCTCTCTATCTTTCCACGTGCATCCCGAGATCGAGGTCGACATGCAATCTCAGCATCCGTTGCTCCACGGGATAACGATGGTGCGCCACGATCTTTACTTTTACCGCTTAGGTGGCTGCGTAAACTACAGACCAACGTCGGCTCAATTCGTCACGCTAATTACACCAAGGTAAGGCGTTATGATATCTTTAATAAAAATAGGGATATTCCAGATATTTTTTTTAAATAAACGTAAAATTTGACCATAATAATTCCATTTAAACAACAGGATAGTATGATTAATAAAATTAATAAATAATAATTATTATAGAAAAAGAAATTTCTATAATCACATACATTATAAGAATTTTATGGTAACATTTTTATAGGGATTTCCGAAATGTTTACATTATCCGAAACGTTTACATTAAAACATTAGATTTTCAAAAAAAAATTAACTTTTGGTAAAAAAACGTATGTGTAATATAAAATTTTTTACATCTATCCCGTTTTTATGCAATTAATAGAGTTCTGACATTTTCCCCAAAGAAAATTTCGTAGTTCGAATAATATATTCTCTTTCAATTATTCACAAATATATTTTTAAAAAATGCTATTTTCTAATAACTATCATAAATCTAGAGAGAATACATATATTAGAGTCAATAGAATATTTTTTTGTTATCTACATTTTAATTATCTTCCTTTTTCTTTAGCTTTTAAAATGTTTTCTCAATATTCTGAATTCCTTTCTCTCGGATTAAGAAAAAGGAGAAGTAAAGTCAGAAGTGCGAGCATGAGCGATGTTCGCTACGTAGAAAATGCATACATAGGTACCGCGAAGTATGCCGATGCGCCTTCATGCACGCAAGAAGCGCAACTGTCTTGTCGCTTCTCCACACTAATTATTCATGAGCGTTAGTTTAAATAGCGTCTGCGAGTTGGGAAACGTGTACGAACAAATAGAAAACGCATACGGCGATGATAGGTCGCTAATGCGCTGCGATGCGTGTAGACGGCAGCCGCCGTATCATTTCTCCGCGGAAATTACTCAAAAGCGTGCAAGCTTCAAAGATACTGATGCGAGTTGGAAATAAAGCGATGCAAAATACAAATGGTGATAAATTTTGACGCGTTTTGGCAAGGCGCTCGTATTATTTACGCACTTATCATTTGCAATCAAAAATTGAGATAAGAGCCAAATTTTACACACATATACACTTACGTTAGATTACACAGACAAATATTCAAATTTAAATTAAACTGAAATTAATAAACAATTAATTGCAGACATATGTATAACTATTCAATAATATTGTATTCAATATCAAAAAATATCTCTTTGAATAAATTTTTCGATTTCTCGATTTTTCTTTAACTTGTAGAATATAAATTGATATAATCTAAAATTTAATGGCAAAGTAAGAAAAATTATACATAAAAAAGGAGAGGAAAATGAATGAACGTAAATCTCGTTTGATAGGGGAGCGTAGATAATAATTAGAATTTCTCGTTTCCGATCAAACTGTAATGCTATACTATCTTCGTACAAACTTCACACTTTAATTATTTTCAACAGACAATTAAACAAAAAAAAAAAAAAAACATTTAATATGAGTTATATAATGTTTGATTATATTTAATATTTTGATAAGGAATAAAATTTGATCTGTAAACGCGTATCCTTTATTAATTAAATAGAAAAAGTCTACAAGTCGAAATTATTCTTACTATACATAAATTTGATTTATGTCGATCAATGGAGTTATTAAAAGCCGACAAGGTACTCGGGCGAGCAGGAAGTGCGTACAAACCAATAGATTACACATAAGAGGGCGAAGGGGAGAGACCCCGACTGCCGCTGATCCGAATAAACTGTGCCACTAAGCGCTAATAACGTTTCACTTGTTGCGTTTTCTCGGAAAGCTTAATTAATCATTAGGCCACGCCGCACACAAGACGGGGAAAGGGGAAGCAGGACTCGAATGAGCCGCGGTGCAGCCGTGCCGCGGGATGGGAAGGGCGAGATGCGCAGACCGCCCGTCGCTACCGCAGCGTCATTGCGTACGCGAATGCGTGCGTGTGTAATCACAGAAAAACGCGCTATCTCGACTTTCCACGCGATGTGCTCGTAAGTGGTGCATCCGAAGGGCGGCACGGATCTCTGCATTGCGATGCAGCGTGTTAGTTGGCAACGGCCAACAACGCGCGTGGGCTCTTCTCGGCAACGCCGAGGAGTCTCGCGAGCCCGCAACAAGATTGCGCGAGATCGGAAACGAGGAATTCTCATTTTTATCTACGACCCGATCGTGCGAGAGACTCGCGTCGTCGTTCATTCGCCTTTCCTTCGCAGCGCGATTTGCCGCGCGTTAAGGTGCCATTACATGGCAGCATCGAGCATCGAGCGTCTGCGCAGAAATCATTGCGCAACACACACACACACACACACACACACACATCTGTTATATAATACAATAAATGAAATATAATTCTGGGCAACAATATTCTGCGCAGACGCTTAACGCTCGACGCTTGACGCTTGACGCTGCCATGTAAAAGCACCTTTAATCCTAAAATCGCTGTAACATGCGCTGTCAAGCAGGGAATTCAAATTAGAAAGATGTCGTAACTCGCACATGCTCTTATATTATGTATACGCTGAAATACTCATCTAATATTTCGAATAAAAAACCAAAAAGTATCAGACCTCTGGTACTGCGATTTCAATATGTGATTATATAAAAAATCCGAAAAATTAACAATCAATTGTTTTCAATATTAATATTATATATGTCAAAAGAGTTTATTCTAAAAATAAGACAGGAAGTTTGCAACAATTTTTAATTATTCTTTGTAAATGGATCTTAACTTTTTATGCGAATCCAAAGAATCCTCTCATGCCAAACATAGCATACACAACAAAGTTCCGAAATATAAAATATCTTGATAAAATCAATAGTTGTTGAAAAGATATTAAAATATAAATAAAAAATATGCATTACGTCGTCTATTAAAAATAAACATTTTCAGGCTCTTTTTGACTAACATAAAATAAAAATTGAATCAAATACAAAAATATCATAGCTAATAAATATATACTAGTTTATATAACATTTAATTCTGTAGATATTAAATTTTTTGTAGGAGTATATTTCAATTCAAAGGATACTGATAAATTACATTTATATTCATATGCATTCTTTTACATAAAGAGGCAAAACAACAATATTCTATAATTCCTTTCAATTTACTTGACATTGAATCCTGAACCTTCCGTATCAATTTACTTCCGCATATCGTTCTTCTCCCCGCACTGTTTAAAGTACTTCAATAGAGATTCCGCGCTTATCAGCGACAATACGATCGCGAATCGCGCTTCGCAGTACAAGTCGTAATGCAAATACGTTCTTGCCAAAGTAGCGCCGATCGATCTCCGCTACAAGAGCCTACGAAGCTACGGATAGCTATGAACCGTATATCCGCGACCCGTTACGACTTCCCGTATCACGGCTCGTCCGTCGCGGCGTATCTCGCACTTACAACAAACAATGCTAGTCTTGTACTCAATAGCGTAGGAATGCGAAAAATCGATCAGTAAGAAACAGCAGCACGCCTCGGCTGGCTTTATAAACTCTGGCTAGAATCTTTCTATTGAAAGCGAGAACAGCGCGTCAATGGCAGCCAGATACGCCACCATAAAGTCAAGGGGGTCTCAATGGATCCCATTAAGAAGAATACCAAGCTCGCTTTTTGCCGTTAGAGGGAAATTACTAACGCTGTATTCGATGCAACTCGCCACTTCCGCAGATCTATTTCTAACATTTGTTTTTATGTAATATATTATATTAAATAATTTATTATAAAGTTTTATGTTTACACACATACACATACAATATCTTATGTCGTTTTTTTTCTACCTGCATATTTTCAACGAAATAGAAAGATAAATAGTTAATGCGATAATTAAACTGAAAATGGCTTAGACAAATTTGCGCGCATTCGCTGTAAAATGAATCCTTTATTATTGAGAATTAATGAGAAATTATAACTTTGGAATGATCAGATATGCAAAGAGAGCACTGTTAGAAGCAATCGTGATGGAGCATATAAATCATTCAAATACTTTCAATCGCACAATAAAGATACTATCGTTGGCTCTACATTTGTTGCGGCACATCTGTTTAAATTTACGCCGCCACGCTGTAATGTGATATCGCAATCAGAGTAACACAGTCGCTAACCGGTCGTTA